CAAAAATTATGATGCCTCCACTCCCCTCCCAATAGTCGTCTGGATCCGCCCCTGCTGCGAAGTCCGGTGCTCCTGCGAGTATGGGCTGTACTCCTACTTTCTCTCTTCCTCCTCGTCTTCTCCAGCCGACATAGGTGGCTCAGGGCATCAACTGATACCCCTGCAGGGCATCTGAGCGGGAAGGCCTGGGTTTCGAGTCCCTGCGGTGGCAGGATAGTCAACACTAGCCTGTCAGCTAAACCGAATTCAGCCACTCTCTGGAGGAGAAATCTAGCGGTCGGCTGCTCTGGTCGGTAATTTCCAATGGTTTCTCCCATCAACTCCAGATGAATGCCGGAGCAATAGGCTAAAAAATGGGTCACGGACGCGCGCGATCTTTCCTTCCTCCTCCTAGTCCTATCCCTATCCCTTACCAGCACTGACTTTCTCATGCACTACACAATCACACCTGACAGAAGACCACTGAGGACATTAGAGTTTCTCCCGGCTGGGGGGATGCCCCACTGGTGGGAGATACCTGGTTGGGAAAAACCCTTGCAAGCCGAAGTAGGTCTGTGCTGGATCTCACCATACAGCGAGGGAAGATCACCGTGATGAAAACATGCACTACACTTACCGGACTGTTGAGCTTCGCAGTTGAGGCACCCGGAATCACTAATCAATGAATCAAACTCGTCTTCTTCCCTCTCCTGGATATCGCTCTCCCCCTGCGACCGGCGGAGGAAGTGAGTGTCTCAAGGACGAAGCGCTTCTTAACACTGCGCGCGGCGCTTTCCGGCGGGTTTCGCCTCTGCTTCCTCGCCTCGCGAGCAATTACAGTTTATTGCAGGGCCATCAGAACGCTGCATCGGCGGCGAAGTTCGCCTCCGCGGTCGGAGCGACGCAGAAGGCAGAGGGCGGCGGAGGGAATGAAATGACCAAAGTCCTTTTGTAATTGATGATAAACTGCTTCAGGAATGTGAGTACTTTAAGTGCAGTTGGGTTAAGAGTAAGACCAATTATTAAAACCAAGTGGAAGATAAGTAAGTATTGGAAAATAGAAGCCATCTGATGGCACCGGCTGATTTAGTTCAGAGCCAGCAAAGCCGTTATCGCCGCAGCGTCTCTGACCGCGAGGTCCTAGGGTTCGTTCCCCGACGGTTGCGGACTTTCGAAAATAGCTATAAAACTAGGTCGAATTCGGTCACTGGAGGAGAATTCCAGCGTCCGGCTGCTCTGATCGGTCGTTCTGTGGTTTCTCCTATTAATACCAGGAGAATACCGGATCAGTCCCCTTACAAACGGGACACGAACCGCGCGAGATATTTCCTTCCTCTTCCTTGTCTTATTCTCACACCTTTCTTTCAAACACTTACTTACACGTAAGACACTACCACACACATGCCGGGAGGCCAGGCTGGAGCTTAGAGCTTGTCCAGCTGGAGGAGATATCTCTAGAAGGATATCCCTTGCAAACTGACGTGAGAGTCGAGCTGTGGTAGATCAACGCCCTCACGCGTTAAAACATTCACCTCGCGAACGGGGCAATCGGCGATAGCAGTTGACGTAGCCGGGATCAACGAACCCTCGGAAGCCTTTGGAGATAGAACGGAAATGTTCTAAATGATCGGCGGGAGGAAATGTGTTCAAAGAGCCGCTCAAACCGCAGCGCCTCACGGGTTTGACCTCTGCGTTTCTTGCAACGCCCCAGCGGTTGCTGCCGAATGTCTCGTAACACTCCTGTACACCGCTGCGGGGCCTGCCACTAAAAGCCAAGAGGAACCGACTACCGCGCCTTGGAGCTACAACGAGATACGCTCTGGTTTATTGCCGTGTAACAGCCTTCAGTACGGTAGGTAATAAAGTTAGAATCTGGTTCTGTGATATTTTTGTACAGTGGTTACCTCTCGTAAGCGATGGAAACAGAAAAACTATTTCGCCCCAGATTTTGTCTCATAAGTAAAAATAAAAAGATTCTAAAAATATTCATAAAAATTAGAAACTATGTAATTTTGAGTTGAAGATGCAACTAATTAACTGATGTACGAGTAAATACTGCATACCTTCCTTCTATGATGTAGATTTCATTCAACGAACTTTTATTGATTTTTTCTTTTATTCATTTACTTATTTATAAAAACAGTAAAACTGTGTGAGCTCTTTCAAATTAAATATTTGCATTCAAATGTATCACTACTTATTTATGAATGTACATGTATTTATTTGTTAATTATCTTGAAAGGTATTGCATTATAACTATTCTTGATGATCTGTTTTAATACTTTATAATAAATTTAAAACAATTTTAAAATTGTTATTAACAATAAAGAAGCAATGCAATTGTTATCGCATGACGCACATTCCATAACAAACATACTAATGTAATATACAAAAAAGACTTACATGTGCCAACCACGAAAGATTCCTGAACACTCTTCGAAAGTACTTCGTTAAGATGTTGCTCGTAGACTGGCACAGAAAGATTAGTTGGTTCGACCAGCAGAGGTAGAATTAATATTCCTCTGCTCGTGAGGCTTTGTTGTGAGCTCGTGTAATGCACTTGAACCTGACTCCGTAATCTTCTAACACGTAATGACAGATGAAGGATCAGCGTTCATTCCTGTTTCGAAATCAGCGTTCAGGAAATACGTTATGAGAACGCGAAGTATAGTTTAATAAATCCTTCGAAGGATCGTGCAATTTGAGAGCAGGATATCAGGAAGGAAAGTGTTGCACAAATCGTTGATGACGAAAGAGTTAATCTAACGCTTGATAGCTTAGTAATCTTAGTCTTCTAGTGGTTAAATAACTGAGATACAAAATACGTGTTAGCTCCTAAGTTTAAACAGATTCAAGACGTTTGAGCTTCTGATTCTAAAACGATTTTTACGACTTTAAAGTCGGTTTAGACAAAAAAGCATCCCTACAAAGATCGTTTTCCTTCACCAGCCAATATCAATCCATAGTTTGATAAGTTTAAAAGGAGTTAACCAGATGCCAGAGACTATGATCTCGTGTTAAAATGTCTTCGGGGTATGTTCTTTATTTAAATAGTTTTTTGGTTAACTGGGTGATTTTAGGTAAAATACGTGAAACGCAGGTTGTATATAAGGAAAATTTACGCCAGTGAGATAGTTGTTGAATAGTTATGTTCTCTAAATATTTTGAATTTGTTCAGTATTGTTGTGAAGACAATAGTCTTCTAGTTTCATAGACTATTCGTTTTCGTAAAACAACCTCTTCGGCTAAGCCTTGACGCGTGAGAATTATCGGTTTCCCATCTGTTCCACTTGAATGAAATGCCAGGTTGGCGATTACGGAGTATAAAACTGCACGCTGACGTCAGAGAGAGTCCTTGCAATACGAATTTATTTTCACTATTGGAATACAACAATTTTTTGCGAATTTTGAAATACCATAAAATTAAAGGGGTACTTAGATCTACGTTATGCTTATTATGTTATTTTATGCCAATTTGTGTTTGGCACAATTATGGCTTCGTTAATAATGTCTTACAGTAATTTTGTAATTATCAATTTTAAAATTTTGCAAATTTCGAAAATACATTATTCCCAGGAAATGAGAATACCAGAATTTTTACCATTCGCTGTTACATACGGGGAGAAAATTTAAAGAAGAAAATGGTGTGGTTTTTTATAAAAAATGTTTAAATAAATTAAAAACTATCTAAATTTTATAGATTTATGCAAAACTACTGAAATTTTTGAAAAAATTTACATGATATTCAAAATCTGTCTTTAAATAATAGATTTCAAAGGGAAAAAATATCAATATTCAATATTTTAAAAAAATAAATTCCGAAAGAAAATTCAACTTTTGCAATTTTTCAAAAATCGGGAATTTCAACGAAAAAGAAAAAAAAGCCTTGCTCCATTCTCGCTAGCGTCCTAAACGCTATCCGACAACAAAATTTAATCAAAAAATTTGAACTCATTTTTTTGAAAATCTCAGAGGTTTCATGTGAAGTTCCCCCAAAATTAAAATATCGGTGTCAAATTCAAGGGGCCGCGACATCAGCCGGATCGATTGGAGAATATAAATTTCGGAAAAAATCGTCCATACTGTTTAGGCGCTGACACGGACGGACAGACGGCCGATTTGCAATTGATTTTTCGGGATCAAGGACCCACAAAACTCATTCCGACTACACAACGTGTGAGAGGAATAATTTACTACAAACAGGAACAAGACTTTTTTTTCTTTTTCGTTACCAGGGCCTGACAATAAAAGATTTTGTAACAAAAATTCGCTGATTTTCGACGCACGATTACAATACATTTTTTTCTTACATAATATGTATGGGCAAGAAAGTAGAAATGAAAGTAATTATACTGTAACAGTAAATGATACACTGATTATTATCACTATAAATCTCTAGATCATGGGATATCCATAAGCTGATACTAAAAAAACTGCAGTAATTGCATTTTTTAAATTTTACATTAAATTTTTTGTTGCAAAGAATGCCTGGATTTAGATTTAGATTTATTCAGTTAAAAAAAAAAAAAAGAAAAGAAAGAAAGAAAGAAAGAAAGAAACAAACCTGTAAAAACTGCATGCCTAGTCTAACATGAGGAGCGGGCCCTTTTCCAATAAAGTTTTTTTATTTACATGTCATATTTACTAGTAACTAAATGAAATATCTAACTTTAACTTTAATTCTACAATTAATTATAACTTTAAATGTACAATTAACAAATTGAATGGATTTTACATTGAGTTGTTAACAAGGTTGTTAGTAATGGACCCTCTTCTTCAAATATACAATTTCCCAAATTATCAGGTTTAAAAGAGGAAAATCAGGGATTGAACTTATTTGACACGAAAAAGAAATTGTTTATCACATAAGGTTATGGATCCCCTTTGAAACTATTCATTAAACAAGTATAAAAATACGGATACATCCTTGAAAGTACCTGCAACACTTGCACTCAGAACCACAGAACACTAAAGGGTCAGAATGAGTCGTTTTTTAATATGTCCATTTTATATGGAACAAGATTTTAGTGCATTGGATTAGATAGTCTTTCTTTACAGGGTAATTTGCAATGAGAGGTTAGGGCAACATGTTCTTAATATTTATTTTAACTTGAAATGTACAATAAGTTACAAGGAATGTAACAAGGTATGAAAACAAATATTGGTTCAACACATTCCATACAAATCACCTGATAATAGGAAATGTGTATAAAATGACTAGATTGAAGCACTAGTAAACCATTCTAAAGAGAAACTAGTTTCACAAGCTCAGATTCATTTCTTGAGAATAGAAGTCATCTACCATGACAAATACTAAAACTGTCATTCACTTTGGTAAACAGGCTATGCCAAGATTAATTAGTAGTGATCACTCAAACATAAATGCACAATTACACACAAAAGTGAGAAACATGATAAAAACATTTCAGTCATTACTCTTTTTCAACAGGACATGTTCACTCAATAAAATTATGTAAAAACGATAAGCAGGCACAGCCTATAACCACTGTCAGGCAGCAAAACATCTGAAGCATTTCAATAATGTTAGTCAATGATTTTGAGTTTTGTACTGCTAATTTTTGCATTGCATATAGAACTAGAAAGACTTGGTTTCCAATAAGGAAAGTCAGTATATTATATTCAATATACTTTATACCTTTGAATGTAGAAATGATTTACTAGCAATATATATATGTATATACAATTGTCATTACAAAATGTCATTTGTAAAGTATGTCAGAAGAAATTCAAGTTTGTAGTTTAGAGTACTACGTAAATTCCTTAAACATGACAAATAAGATTCAAAATCTAAAATGAGGCATTTTGCATATGAATAACAAAGGCAGCAGGAAGTTATTTGGTTGTGAAATCAGGCCAATAGTTGATGTAATATCGCTGAGTGGTTCCTTCAAAAAGACGATCTAACCAGTTTGGCAGTCCATCCAAAAGATTGCTTTGAAACACAACATTACTGTATTTATCAGAGAGAACACCCTGAAACAATTTTATCTTTAGAAACCATGTCTTAGACTACAATACAGAAAGTTATATTTACAAATAAAAGTACCTCTTCCAACTTTCGGCAGCCAGATTCCAAATCAGATGTTTCTGTCTCATCAGAATCACTACTATCAAAGCCAATAAATGCTCCCTTAGTAGTATTTGAAGTATTACTAAATGACTTTGTCATCTTTACCATTCTCTGAAATAATGTTATTGTGAATCAACACTTTTAACAATAAACAATCAATGATTGTAAAGAGATCGTAAAGATCTTACCTTTGAACCTTTCCCCCTTGTACATTCTGGGTGTTTAGCATGATACATACAGAAATATTTACGATGACCATTGAGAGAGAGCACAGTGCCAATGCAATTGCGAGGATTTATGTTCAAATCACGAGGTTCTGGTAAACTAAGAGTTAAAAGGCATTTGTACCACTCCAGGTATCGATCCAGATTTAGAAACCCAAACATCAGAGTTTTGTTCCTGTTGTGACAAGATTAAAAGATATAGTACAATCAATTTACACAATATTAATATCACATTTAAGCTAAAGTGTTAATGTCACTGTCAGCAAGTTGGAAACTAAGTTTAAAGGATCTAATAAGACACTTTCGGCTTACTTGTATTATCTGATATCGAATCTTCATCATACTTAATGTGGGGAAGACTGTAAAAGTTAGGAAATTCAACCAAAGTTGCAAGCAATACCGAACTATGACATAATAAATCAAACTAAATCCATACTAAAAATTGGGAGGGTTTCGAAAGTTGTTTCTCTAGTTCTCTGGGTTTTACTGCTATGTACTTCAAAAAATACAAATGACCCCTTTCTTTCATTCTTTTCTTAACAATTATAAAGGGTAGTGCTTTTCTTTTACCAATATTAAATTTTTAGTTATCATGTAGAACACATTTCTAGAGTGTTTCCTTGTGAAAGAGCAAGTTCTCAGTATTGGATACACCGCCCTCATCCTCAGTTTGGATACACACAGGGATGTTCAAGAGAAAGACAGGAGAGAAGCACATGACAAATATTTACTTTCAATTTTTATCGCTGCCACTATCTGCAAGACTTAGAACTTTAGCCTTTATTATTTACACATTCCATAAATGAAACTACCAATTTTAATATAAATAACTGAATAAATTGTAAAAACTATTTCTAAAGTAGTCATTTTTAAAGTTGATGAAATGTTTTCAAGAACAAACCCAACCTGCAAAGAGTCCAATTGTAAAAGTGTTTGTGAACTCCTGGTATAAACCAAATCAACACTTCCTTGAAGAAAATTAATGCTAACAATTTTCAAAACTTCTTACTTGCGATATGGCCACACAAAACGATGGAAATCAGGAATCAGAGTCTGTCGAGACTGTGTATCAACAAGAAGAACAATAGTTCGACAGCCAGGTTTTAAGAGCCGGACCATGCCATTGTAAGTTTCTGCACGCAGTTCATGCAGCTTTAGTTGAGGAGGATTTGTTTTAAGGTTACTATTCATACATGCCGGTTCACCATTAACTGTTGCAGCAGGTTTTGATGTACCATTTGCATATGTACCATTTTTCTTAATGTTTTCTTCTTCCAAACGCCTAGTGCCCAAATTAACCCACATTTAAGTTTATTTTAAGTACTTTGAGATGTTACTAAATCAATATTATAACATTCTCTATGTCATATTGACATATAGTATTAACCAGGAACAACATTTTTATACTTACATTAAATATGTCATTATATAGCCAACAATGACAATAAATAAAATTGTAGCTAAAACAGAGAGAACAGGTAGAAGCTGATCTTTAGTTATATTCTCCCTAAGAAAATCTGCTGCAATTAAGAGTTTTGTGAGAATTCGTGACATCATGCCTTGCGCATGTTCATCAATTAATTCCTGAAAACCAAAATAACATCCATGTCAACAGCAGTTAAAACAAAGATATCTTTAATGGAGCTACACTACCACAATTCAGCAAGAGCCTAACATTAAAAAACTCCTAAATACTACCCTATCTTAGCTCGGCCTTAATGCTCAAGAATTCAAATCACTGAGTGACTGATATCAAGCTAGAACTGGAATATAATAAATTGATTAATGAAATTAACAACAAGCATTCTGCTCTTAAATTGTTCCTCCTCTTCAATTCGTAGATCAATGTGTACATTAGGAACATTCAGCTGGCGAGGATACTATTCACCTCTCAAACGCTTAATGCAATAGGTCAAATACCTTAACAACAGCTTCATATGATAATGCCTCAGAGGAATGCAATAGCCTTTGAATGGTAGATTCTAAACGATCCCGTGTCTCATTCCATTCTTGACTTTTAGGACTATCCCAGCTATGAGGTAACCATTCATATTTGATATGACTAGCATCTCGTCGCCACAAGATGACTACATGCAGAACAGTTTCATCAGGGCTCCCTTCACCTGCAATATCAGTTTCACTCTTGTACTTGCATCTCCCAGAAAACATCCAGGATGTGTTTTAATTAACTGCCTTACAATAAAATATTTTTTGTTATATCTACCTGTTAGAGCATTGATGAACTCAGCTTGTCTTTCCTGGAAAATATACATAAAGCGAACTCTTTCCACATTGTAAGGAGAATCTTGTGCAAACTGACGTAATGCTTGACGTGGTTCATCATGATAAGGTGTGTTTTGTGAAACAAGAACCACACACAATCTCTTACGAGGTCTTGCCCATTCTGGAGGACACAGTGCATCAAACATGCCCTACAAACATTATATACTTGATATATTACAGAGCGATCAAGTATATTGTAAATGGAGGGTAAAGTTATCTTACCTGAGATGACAATCGCGGTAACATGAGATACTTATTACTGTTTATAATATCTTGCATTGTCTTAATAGGAATATCTGACATGCTTAAACTTGCAACAGGACGATTTATATTTTCATTGAAAAGCAACAAAGATTCAATGTCTCTTGGAACTTTGTATTTTTTCTGGATTTCCTCGGTATACGAAGAATTAAGTTGCACAAAACTACAATACAAAAAGAGTCACAATTTTCTCCAGTGCAAAAGAACGACTTAATCTACTAAAACATAAAAGGAAACTTACCCAAAAGCTACACGCTCCCTGTAGTAAAAGGCCATTAGTAAATAGCGAAGCCTGATTGATTCTTGATGCTCAAATATTAATGCCCGAATCCGATTGTCAACCCATCCATTTAGAAATGAAGCAACATTATCATCATTAACTGGTTGTACTAATTTATAAGGAAATTTATTTCTAGAAAAATCTGAAAAACAATAACAGAACATGCAATTAACACTGTAAACATTTCAAATAGAAATTTTATTAAAAAAGAACTAAAATGCAATTTAATAAAAATTCCTACCATGACAAGTTATATCAATCTTAATCATAAGAATGGCAATTTATAAGAAAAAAAATATAAAAGTTATATTGTATTTATCTATATTATGCAATCTTATAATGCAAATATTTACACTCAATTTGAAACAAGTATTATTCATGATAAAAATCGTTAAACATTTCTATGCCAACAACATAATTAAGAAATATTCATTGTAAAAAAAAGAAAATCTGCTATTCAATTATATGTACATTTTTACAGCTATTACAGAAAGACTGTAACAATAAAATAAAACAGTAGAAATGTTTTAACTACTTACCCACTATTTTTTGCATGCTGAAGAGAGAATCTTTATACAAGCTTGGTCTCCCGTCTATTAATATCATGAGAGTAGGGAGTGTATGAATGCCAATTTTACGAGTTAATAATTGTTCATTCTCCGAGTGTATAGTGGCAATTCCAAATCCAATTGGTTCCAATTCCTCAATGATTCTTCGCCAAATTGGTTCTACTTGCAAGCAAGCAAAGCACCAATCGGAATAGAAGAGAATGAGATGAGGCACTTGATAGCTTTTTGGCACAATTTTGTTTTCATATGCTCTGTGGTAAAAGGGTGAGATAATGTCATAAATTTGAATACTTTAAAAAAACACAAGTATATGATGTAAATGTCAAACATACTTTGTAGTAATACTTAAACGATGAAACAAAACTATGTCCCTATCTTGATAATGAAACTTAAAACCATTTGCATGAGGTCCAAACAAATCATCTAATGGGTCAAATCTTCTGTACTGACTGAAATCACGTTTTGGACGCACAGTTGGGGTCTCCTCAGTAACACCATAGTTGTCATATTGTTTCCGCCTTTCTGGGTCAGTCAGCAGCTATTCCCAATAAGAATTTAAAATAAAGTAAAGATTATAAATGACATTATGAGTTAAAATATACATTTGGAAGAGAAGGGTTGTATAAAGATATTACAATACTTTTCACAGAACTCACTTCATATGCTTGATTTATTTCCACAAATTTATTTTCTGCTGCAGGGTCATTGTTTTTATCAGGATGCCTTAAAGAAAAAAGATCATGCCGGTGTAAAGAACATAAACGAAAACTTCAAAGTAGTAGTTTGAGAGGTTACAATGAGAGAAAACATTAGTACATTGCCCATTTAATCTGAAGCCAAGGTGAAATACAACTTAACAAAATCCATTCGAAGTAATAACTTACCACTCCTTCGCTAATTTTTTGTATGCTTTTCTAATTTCTTGTAAAGAAGATGACTTTGAAATTCCCAAAATTTCATACGGGTTTCCTAACCCCTGAACTCCCACCAAAATAGCAAAGAAACATACAAGTAAATTGACCCATTTCATTTCTACTCGGGCGATGCTTGTTTTACGATCGGCAACTAATTGTGAAATAAAATCAAATGCTTCATTAGTTTAAAATCACAAACTCAACTATTGATCTCCTGCGCCATGACAGATAACCGCAGATAACCACGCTCTGAGTGGGAAACTGATGAAGTTCTCCGGTAAGAATAGCCAACAGCTCTCTCCTAGAGTACACCACTGATACCTTTCAGCAAGGTCTTTTACGGAACCTCGATCTCTTCTGGCAAAAATTGACGCATTCTATCCATGGCTATAATACCTTACAACTCAGGAGCCTGTATCAGTCAAGTAGTATTAGTATTAGTAAAATAGTATTTCTCATCCGCCTTAAAATATCGTCTCTTTTACTTTCTCGCATTCGTACGTACTTATGGAGTAATATCCGAAGTATAGAGAAAGTTATGTAATGCTGCGGAACCGGGTAACGATTTTATAACTTTTGGAGTCCCCTGATTCCGAAAAAGTGTTTTGTTAATGTTGTTTTCCTCCAAAGCGTCCTTTATACAATTCTCTTTCTTTCTTTCTTTCTTTCTTTCTTTCTTTCTTTCTTTCTTTCTTTCTTTCTTTCTTCTTCTCCTTCTTTCCCCCTTCCTTCCTTTTCTCTCCCTTTTCTTTTTTCCTTTTCTTTTTTCCCTTTTCTTTTTTTTTCTTTCTTTTTTCTGTTCTTTCTTTTTTTCTTTTCCGTCTTTTTTTTTGCTTTTCTCCCTCCCCTTTTTCTTCCCTGTTCTCTTTCTTCTCTTTCTTCTTCCTTTTCTTTTGTTTCCTCTTCTTGTTCTTTTGTTTCTCTCTTTTTTTTTCTTTCTCTCTTTTTTCTCTTTTTTTCTCTCTTTCTTTCCTTTTTTCCTTTTTTTTCTTTTCTTTTCTTTCTTTTTTTTTTTTTTTGGTCCTTTTTTTTTTTCATTTCTTTTTTTTCTCTTTTTTTTCCTTTTTCTTCTTTTTTTTTTCTTCTTCTCTCTTTCTCTTCTTTCTTTTTTTTCTTTTTTTTCTTTCTTTTTTTCTTTTTCCTTCTTTTTTCTTTTTTTCTTTTTCTTTTCTTTTCTTTCTTTTTTTTCTTTTTTCTTTCTTTCTTTTCTCTCTTTCTTTCTTCTCTTTCTTTCTTTTCTTCTTTTCTTTTCTTCTTTTCTTTTTTCCCTGCTTTTTTTTTCTTTCTTTTTTTCTCTTTTTTTCTTTTTTTCTTTCTTGTCTTTTTTTTTTCTTTTCTGTGTTCTTTTTTTTTCTTTCTTTTTCCTTTTTTTTCTGCTTTTTCTTCTCTTGCCTTTGTCTTTCTTTTCTTTTTTCTTTTTTTCTTTTCTTTCCTTTTCTTTTTTCCTTCTTTTCTTGCTCTCCTTCTTTTTTTTTCCTTTTGCTTTTTCTCTTTTTCCTCTTTTTTTCTCTTTTTTTTTTTTCTTTCTGTTTCTTTCTTTGTGCTTTTTCTTTTTTTCTCTTTTCTTTCTTTTCTCTTCTCTTCTTTCTTGTCTCTCCTTTCTTTTTCTTTCTTTCTTTCTTTCTTCTTTTCTTTTTTTTTCTTTCCTTTCTCTTTCCTTTTCTCTTTTTCCTCTTTCTTTCTTCCTTTTTCTTTTTTTCTTTTTCTTTCTTTCTCTTCTTTCTTTTTTCTTTTTCTTTTTTTTCTTTCCTTTCTGTTTTTTTTCTCTCTTTTTTTCTCTTTTTCTTTCTTTCTTTTTTTTCTTTCTCTTTTCTTTTTCTTCTTTCGTTTCTTGCTTTTTTCTTTTCTTCCTTCTTCGTCTTTCTTTCCTTTTTTTCTCTTTTCTTTTTTCTCTTTTTCTTTCTTTCTTCCTTTTTTCTTCTCTCTTTCTTTTCTTTTCTTCCCTTTCCCTTCTCCTTTTTTTTTCTTTCCTTTCTTTTTTTTCTGTTTCTTTCTTTCTCTTTTCTTTTTCTTTCTTTTTTTTTTTTTTTCTTCTTCTTTCTTTCTTTTTTTTTTCTTTCTTTTTTCTTTTTTTCTTTTTTCCTTGTTTTTTGCTTTTCTTTTCTTGCTTTCCTTTCTTTCCTTTTCTTTTTTTTTTCTTTGGGTGTGTTCTTTTCTTTTTCTTTTAGTCTTTTAGTTTTTTTTTCTTCTTTTCTTTTTTTTTTTTGTTCTTTTTTCTTTTCTTTTTTGTTTGTCTCTTTTTTTCTTTCTTGCGTTTTTCTTTGTTCTTTTCTGTTTTTTTCTTTTTCTTTTGTTTTTTTCTTTGTTCTTGTTTTTTTTTTGGTTGTTTTCGTCTTTTCTTTTTTCCTTTCTTTTTCTTTTCCTTTTTTTCTTTCTTTTTTCTTTGATCTTTTTTCTTTTCTTTCTTTTCTTCTTTCTTTCTTTTTTTCTTTTCTTTTCTTTTTTCTCTTCTTTTTCTTTCTCTTTTCTTTCTTTCTTTCTCTTTTCTTTTTCTTTTTTTTTTTCTCTTCTTTTTTTTCTTCTTTTCTTACTTTTCTATTCTTCTTTTCTTCTTTCTTTCTTTTTTTCTTCTTTTTTCTTTCTTATTTTCTATCTTTTTTTTCTTTTCTTCTGTCTTTTTCTTCTTTTCTTTTTTTTTTCTCTTTTCTTTTTTCTTTCTTTTTCTTCTTTTTTCTTTTTTTTCTTTTTCTTTTTCTTTCCTTTCTTTCTTTTTTCTTTTTCCTATCACACTCTTCTTCTCCTTTCTTCTTTTTTTCTCTCTCTTTCTTCTTTTCTTTTTTTTCTTTTTCTTTTTTTTTCTTCTCTTCTTTCTTTTTCTCTTCTTCCTCTTTTCTTTTCTTTTTTTTCTTTCTTTCTTTTCTTTCTTTCTTTTTTTCCTTTTTCTTTTTCCTTCTTTCTTCTTTTTTCTTTTTCTTGTCTTTTTTTCCTTTTCCCTTTCTTTCTCTTTCTGTCTTTTCTTCTTTTTTTCTCTCTTTCTTTTTTTTCTT